GTTATTATTTGGGCTAGTCGGTTTTTTTTTCGTTCATTTTTTTTACAAAATTAAATTCAGATCAATTCTGTTGTTGTTGTTGTTGTCTATTGAAAACAAACAGAATCTGAGACAAACAACACGAAATTTCCGTTTCCAATCAAACAAACACACACACACGGTTGTTGCAGAAAAATTTTTTCAATTAAAACGAACAAACAAGACAAACCAACACACACGACCACACACACACACACACACACACACATTGAGAGTTGTATTTAATCCAAGTGATAAAGTCAATTTCAAAGCTCGATTTTTTTTTGTAATCCGCAATAATGATGTTTATCATTCAACTAATGCATTACCGAGTCTGTGTGTGTGTGTGTGTGTCATTTTCGACATTCGATAATTACCATCGTTGATTGTGGTTTGCTCGAAAATGATGATAATTGATGAAAAAAAAAATTTGATTTCACAAATTATCATTATGTGATCATTTATGATGATTAGTCCTAAAATCATCATCATCATCGTCGTCGTCATCGTCATGATCAATAAGATGATTAATGAAAATTTTTTCTTTTCCACTAAAAAGAACTGAATCAGTGTGAAGATTATTTGATAAATTTTTTTTTTTGTGGTCAAAAGAAAAAAAAATGATCAACTTTTTTATTTTGTCAAAAATCAATTTGTTGTTGTCCATTTTTGCTCTTGTAGATGGAAGAAAAATTTACGAAAAAAAAAACCAAAATCAAAATCAGGCCATCGATTATCGTTATGCCACGATGGAAAAAAATTTTTTTTTTATCATGTCCACTATCAAGAATTTTTTTTGACCAAAAAAATTGAATTTTTCAATCATCATCATCAACGAACTACCACATGATGATCATATTGTCATCGTTTTTTTTCTATAGATCAAATAATAATCAGAAAAATGATGAGAAAATAACCGGGAAAAAGTTTTTTTGTTTTAGTGGTCATCATCATCAGGGATAAAATAAAAAAAATCATCATCATCATCTTTTGATGATGGACAGAACAACAACAACAAAAAATTCGAATCTTCACCATTATCATCATTCCGGATACGAAGAAAATGAAAAAAAAAAATTGTTATCCACATATATAACTATGCAATTAAAAACAAAATGATTTTTTCCGTTTCATTTCTTTATTATTATCATTTGAATATATGAATTGATTGTCATATGATTATGATTGCTATATTTATCCATATATAAATTCCATCAAGATGATGATTATGATGATGATGATGATATCCAAATGATAATAATAATGTACCTGTTGAATGAATGCTATGGCTTCTTTTTTTTTTGTTTTCATACAATGATTACTCTCCAAAAGATCATAGACCTGCCGGCCAAAATGACCAAACAACCTTACCGACCAATTTTGTATGATTCGAGTTTTTGCCAATGGAAAAAAAGAGTTAAAAAAAGCCAAAAAAAACATCGACATGATGATCTAATGAATGCACACGAATTGGAACAACAAAAAAAAACAGAACTTGCTTGGGATGGGCTTTTTTATTATCCCCTTTATTTTTCTCTCTCTCCATCCATTTCGATTTTCAGTTTGTTGCGCCTTTTTTTCTGAATGATTACATAACATATCACATCATGATGATCATCATCATTGACGTCTTTCTCTCTTTCTCCTTCTCTTTTTTTTCTCCAACAACATCTTCGTCTTCTTTTTCCTTATTGGCTTATGATGATCATCGTGTTTTGTGTGTGTGTGTGTGTGTGTGTGTCGAGGTATAATATAGAGCCGCCTTCAATATACAGTGGCTTGACTGTTCACTTGAAGTTGTATTACATGGTACGGATGAATGGATGAATGAATGAATGAATGAATGAATGAATCTGACTGAATGTTTTGAATGAATGAAAATAGAAACATCCAAGAAAGAAAAGAAAAAAAAAATCTTCAGAATAAGTGAACCTGTTGACTCTATATAAATCTAGGAAATTTGATATTTATTTGATGAAAAAAATTCTTGTTCAAGAATAATCCATTCGTTCACTGTTTCAATATGGAATTTAAAGATTTTTTTCCACGTTTTTTTTCGAATCAAATTCTCATGTCTATGCAATGGATTCAGGTGAATGAAATGAAAATTTTTCATCACCATTCTATTTTCGTATAGGAAAATGATAGTAGTTGGAAATTTTCTCTTGACCACCCGTACACACACAGCGAATGATGAATGATGTGAATAAATTCATGATGTTGATGTTGACACTTTTGATTTCAAGATCAACAGTGGTCAAAATTTTCATTTTTGTACATTTTTCTCTCTCTCTAGTACCGTTTTATTTTACCGTTTTCTGTTTTCATAGAATGATATACTGTTGATGGCAAATCAAATCAAATCGGGGAAAAACAACAAAAACAAAAAAAAAAAAATTAATTGACCTGCCAATCTGATTTTTTTTCTTCGCAGTTATAAATGTTATGAAATTTTTTTTTTTTTCTCATGAATTCATCAATGCGTGCAATGATCACGTGCTCTGTTTGTATGAATAGTGTGTGTGTATCGTCATTTCAGAAAAAAAAAAATACCATCATCATCATCATTATACTCATGATTCATTCATGCATGAACACGCGCATATTTTCACATGAATATTTAGCGAATATATATACGCTGGCAAGTTCCAATTGGATCACTCTGTGGATGAGCGTGATAATCATTGATCAAAAAAATAAAAATTTTTTTATTCGATTTGTATACATAATGTGATAATTTGATGATCTACGATGGCCAAAATAACAAAAAAAGCCTAGAAAATCAAAGAATTACCTTATTTTCCAATCAACCATATGTTTCGCATCAATGGCCATCCTGGGAATGGAAAACAAAAGAAAAAAAAAAAAAATGAGGACCATTCATTTACACACACAGAAACAGAAACAGTTTGGTTCCAGAAACCTGACAGATTACTGATGATTAATTTTTTTTTTTTTGATTCAATTTTCATTTTTTGATTTCCGAGCAACGATCCTCATGAAAAAAGACACACACACACACACACACACACATGAACATGACATTTGCTAATTAAACAAAAACGAAAACCAAAAAAAAAAAATCGACAGCTACAACACAATATCATTGGCCATTATGTAATCGCTGTTGATCATCATCATCATCATCATCATCCACTATCTTTTTTTCCATGATTGTTGCGTGTATGTATATAATCGTCTATTGTAATCTTTAATTCACATCTATCGGATATCATCGGATATAGCAACAGTAGTGGCATAAACTATAAATGATGTTAAATAATATATACATACATACATACATAGATAGATAGATAGATGGTTTCAAAATTATATCAAAAAAAAAAAAAAAAAAGATTCCCAAGAGAAAAATGCTTTCACACGCTACCTCCATCATCATCTGCTACTATCATTGGATAGGTAGGATATATATGACATAATACACACTATGACGATGAGACATCAACCAATGACAATGATGATGATCATCATCATCAACAACAACATGGTCAAACAGAATAGGACTGGTTTTTTTTGTTCTTATATACCAGATATATCATTGGATCAAAACAGAAAAAAAATCTTAAAGACAATCACACACACACACACACACAAAACGAATGAAATAGAAAAAAAAGGTGACAAAGAAGACCTATTATTAATGCCATTAATCACATTGTCTTTTTTTTTATTTCTTTTATAAAAAATTATTATTGTCCACTGTTGTTGTCACAACAACAACAACAACAACAACAACTACAACAACAACAACTAGAACAACAACAACAACAAAAAATCGTTAGAAAAAAATATCAATGATATCGTATATATATGTTTTATTCATTCGCTTCGTTGGTCATAATTGTATCATGATGATGACAATTTCATTGTCTTTCTTTAAGTGTCTACCTGTCTGTGTGTGTGTGTGTGTGTGTAAACAAACTGTGTCCATCTAGCACAATAATAATTGTATCTAGTAGTAGTAGTAGTAGTAAGATAAGAAATAAAAGAAAGAAAATGGTCAGTAAATTTCGATAGATAAAGATTGCCCTGTCAAAAAATGGTCAAAAAGACAATTGAGAATCACTCGTAAACAATCAAAAAAAAAAAAAAAAAATTTGAACTGGGGGAAAAAAAGTTTTTTTGATTCAATTATTCCGGACTGCATTTAATGATTCAATCAAATAACAATGCAATCATCAATCAGAAGATGATATTGGAAAATTGTTTTTGTTTTTCTACTCACTGGATGATGATGACTGTCTACATTTTTTTTCGTTCGGTCATTTTTATCATCATTTGAGCTTCCCCGTTCTAAGCAATAAGAATGATACTTGCTCATATCGAATCCAGTGCTATTTGTCATAAATGTCATCATCATCATTTTAGATTCAAGAAAAATTCAACAGAAAATTAAAGTGAATCAACTAGATGATAAAAACATCATAGATAAAGTAGCCAATTTGTCATCATCATAATTTTTTTTTAGATTTTAATCATATTTCAATTCATTTTCAAAACAAAAAAAAATTCTACCCAATTGACATGTGTGTGTGTGTGTGTGTGTGTATGTATAATTATGGATCAAAGCTTGACCTTTGACATTTATCGTGTTTTGACAATGCAATTATTTTGTTTGGTCAAACAAAAAAAAAAAATTCACACGTGCCATCCTCATCATCATGGTCATCGTCTTCGTAGTATCACATTTCAAATAATTTTAAATCAATTATCAGGGTCAAGATTTTATTGACATGAAAAAAAAAAACACACACACACACACACACTGGGAGAAAAACAGTTTTACTTTTGTGTTTTTTTTTTTAAAAAAGACATGAAGAATTGTGATCTAGATCTTTTTTTTTATTTTAAAAATTTTAAAATGTGATGCTTTCTTTCTTCTCATGTGATTATATATATATATAATCAACGTTTTCGTTGTTTTTTCATTGGACTTTCACGTTGTTGTTGTTGTTGTTTTTTTTTTTCTTTGTTGAATTATTATCACCTTTTTTCTTTGATTTACTGGCACTTTTAGGTTTTTTATTCGATACACTTGGTGGACTTGTTTTACGTTTTTTATTTGATGTTGAAATTTCCGATAATGTTGATTGTTGTTCTACATCCGATATATCGGATTTTAATCCTTTAGTTGATTGACTTTTTTCCGCTGTTGTTGTTGTTGTTGTTGTTGTTGAACTATTATTACTTGTCTCAGATTTTGCTTTTGAACCTGTTGATGATGTTGCCATTGCTGATGAACTATTATCATTATTTACAAATGAATCAGCTGCCATAGCTGGTGCTTGTACGGCTGGTGGTGGTAATACTGCTGCTGCTGCTGCTGCTGTTGCTGCTGTTTTTGTTGTCGCTTTTGTTGTTGCTTTTGTTGTTACTGTTTGTTTACCTTTTTTTGGTTTTTTACTTTTATCTTTTGTTTGAATTATTGATGAACTATCATCATCAAGAACAACGGGACCTTTAACCACCACACCACTACGATCACCACCACCAACAACACCACCACCACCACCACGACGAACATTTTTTGTTGAATTTAATTTTGATAATCTTCGTACATGGCCAATCATTCGGCCATGATCATAGCCACATTTGATTATTATTAAAAATTCAACAATAGCAATCATGATCAACAGCATCATTAAGAATAACACTGTAAGGTAATTTAAAGAAATTTTCAATTAATGGAAAAAAAATTCCAATCAAAAATCAAATCCAAACATAATAATAATAATACTTACATAAACGACTATTGACCATTGGTTCATCGTGTAGAAAAAATGATTTTTTTGTTTTGGACATTAATCCAGAAAATAATGGAAATTTATAAACCATTTTAGCAGTATCATCAAAAAATATTAAATCATTTTTTTCATTTGCAAATACTTTTTTTATCACTGGAAATGGCATGGCCATTGTACCTTTTGGACAATGAGCAATGGTAACCAAACCATTTGAACAATATAAATAATCAATATTACTATGATTTGCTAGGTGATCATTTTTCCATTCATAACTTCTTATTGTCAATGATTTTGTATCATTTTCCATAAATGATAATGATCGATTCATTATGGATAATGGTAATAATAGATTGAAATTTTTTATTTTTGTTGTATCCACTATTGATGCTTTTTGTTTGTCCAGATTCAATAATAATGTGGTTTTTTCACCATATAACATAATACCATCATTACCATCATTAGTTTGTATGACGGCCGAATCACGTATATGGTCATTTGCAATGAATTTTTCATATAATGATAATTTATCAATCCATGGCCAACGTTTTTCCATACTTGTACCATTACCTTCGGATACTGGCCATGTATTTGTCCATTCATCTTTTTTATTACGTTCAATAATATATGATGTTTTATCTTTAGTTATTATTAATAATGATTTATCTTTCAATTGGCCAATGGTCATTATATCATGTACAGTTGGTCCAAGAAATCCATGTACAAATGTAGATGAAATTATTTGTATCAATAAAAATAACATTATGGCCACTGTTATCGTTATCATTGACATATTCATTGTTTTACAAAAACCAAAAAACCAAAAACCAAAACCAAAAAAAACAAACAAACAAACAAAAAACAGAAAAAATAATTCACACGTCTACATTTGAATAAAATTATCGTGACAATTTATATATTTCATTCGTAATTGAATTTATAATTCGATCATTTGTTGCTACTAATTGTTGTTGTTGTTGTTGTTGACAAAAAAAAAAATTCGAAAATTCTTTCCACCCAATTCAATGATATTGTGAATTTTACAGTTTCTGTGTGTGTTTCTTAGCATCAAGATTCATTGATGATAATGATGGCAATCATCATCATCATCATTATCAGCTACTGGCATTTGATTTTTCCCATTTTTAGTTGATGATGATCATCATCATCAACTGTTAAAACAAAACTTCATTATCATTATCATTCAAGACAATTTTTTTTCATTGAATAATTTCACAATTGAATAAATTGGTAATTTGTTATCGTCAATGATGATGATCTTTTTTTTATATACACACATATATCGATGACATACACACACACACCAGGCCAGGCCACAATCAAGTTGTCAGTATGTGATTTTGGTCGGTTTTTGTTTTGTTTTGTTTATTCGATAATTTTCATTCATAAACAAAAAAACGGAGAAAAAAAACAGAGAAAACCAATCATAAATTTCAATATTTTAAGCCGCAAATTGCGAAAAATTTCCATTTCCATTTTGATTTCGGCCTTTTGTGCATGTGTGTGTGTGTGTGTGTGTGTGTGTCGTATATTTTATTACGACGAACTTACAAACGAATAATTCACAATGATCATCATCTTTATCTTTTTTCTTCAAAAAAAAAAAACTTTAACTTTTTTGGCCAATGAACAAATGTCATAAATAATGATCATCATCATCATTTTTTGTTTTTTTTGTATTTGTGAAGTAAACAAGAGACTTATTTGCATTTGAAAAGATAGAAGAAAAACAGGAAAAAAAAACAACAACAACAACAACAACACCAATATTCAAACACACACACACAGTGGTGGTGGTGGTGGTTGATGATGGTGATATTCATATTTCAGTACGTGGTGGTATATACGTTGTGCAATACATCATCATCATCATGATCATCAATTCCATTTCTTTGTATGTCATGATTATTATTTATATTCATTTTCATCATCAACATATCTATTGGGATGATCATTTATGCAAATGCTCTGTGTGTATGGTGTGTGTGTGTCTTGAAAATGAACATCTTCATCATTATCTGATGCCATAATCGAATTTGCTGCGGCTGCCGCTGCTGCTGCTGCTGGATGGATGCTGGATGCTGGATGCTGTGTGATTGTGTTCATTCATTCATAATCAATTTGAATTTTAGAAAATTTTTTTTCTTCACATTTTCCATTTTGTTTATTATTATGATTGTCTAAGAAATGATGATGACAAGTGAATTTGTATTTTTTTCCTTTTTGTTCATTTATTCATATTGGCAGGTGTTTTCAATGTCCGTGTGTGTGTGTATTTTGTTTCTCTCGTTTGTAAATTTGAAAAAAACAACAAAGATTTAGCTCCTGTGGTTGAATTTCCGTACAGCCATCATCATCATCATGATCATCATCGACGTAAAAAGAAGGTTTTCCATTGGAAATAAATAAATTTTAAGAAATGAAAAAAAATTATTTGATCCTCTTGAATGGTATTATTCGGGTTAACAATAATAATCACTAGTAGTAGTAATCTAATGAAATCGGAAAAAAAATTTTCGACCAAAAAAAAAATACAAAAAATCACGGCAAACACCTGCTATATGGCTGAGATTGATCCTGATCACATGTATATATTGTCCAATTCAAATTTATTGTCCAAAAAAAAAAAAAAAAAAATCTTCATCCATCCATCAGGTGATCATTTTTTTTTTTGTTGTTTCTGGTTAAAATTTTCAAGAATTTATATCCTATAAAGACAACAAACACAGACACACAATGGTGACACCAATTAATTCAATTTTCAATTTAAAATTGTCGTTGTTGTTGTTGTTGTCGTCGTTGTTGTTGTTGTCACCATTGTTGTCGTTAAATGTTCAGAGTTTTTTTTTATTTTCTGTTTATTTGTCTGCTGGACAATTGGTTATTTTGCAACTATAAAATGGTGACCAAAAAAAAAAAAAAAAGAATGAAGAAATGTGAAATGATAACAATTTTGTCAAGTATACCATATTTTCAGCCATTGTTCATTTTTTGTGTCTGTCTATGTGTTTGTTGATCATTTGTTCAACAATCATATAAATCGAGTCGAGTTTTTATTTTTTATTCGTATGTATTTATCATTCATGATGATCATGATCATTTTACCATTTTCTTTTGTTGAATTTTTCTTTTTTTTTTTTTATTTCTTTTCGAATATATAAAACATTTGACTGACCATATATACCATTTGATGATGATGATGATGACAGCCATGTTTTTCTCACGTAAGCACTACTTAAATCTTGAATTTGTTTTCTTGTTGTCATTGTTAGGCACGACAATGATGGCCAAAATGTAGATGATGATGATGATGATGATGATGGAGTTAAATAACAATTACCGAGAATCAGACATAAATAAATTATATCCAAATGAATTGTGAATCTTTTTTTTTCATTCACCATTTTGTTGTTGTTGTTTGATATCGGTAATTGTATTTTTTTTCATTATTTACGATATAGACGATTTAGATTCAGTCAGACACATGTCAATGGAAGAAAAACAAAACAAAAAAAAATTAAATCAAGTATCCGATCGTGAAACGTTTAATCATTTGATTTGACATACATTCAAATGTCAATTTTTTTTTGATTCCGCTCTCAATCTCAATCAATCAATCAATCAATTCATCAATTGTTTTCCAAAAACTCAAAGAATTCCCATCAAAATTGCTGTTTCAAAATTATATATTTTTTATTATTTTCACATTTCGAATTCTTATTTCTATTTCCACTCATTAGGTTATAAAATGTCAATATATATATATATGCATGGCGGCATTATTGAATACCATGCCGTTCATGTATATATACACGGAATAGCAGTACGGATGAGTGATGATAGCCAATGGATTCATATATATGTCTTATGGATGCCACTACCAAAAAAAAAAAAAAAAAAAATTCATTGCCGCACCATTTCATTCTCATGTCGAAGTTTCATCTATATTTTTTTTCGTTCTTGAAAATCGTGAAAAAAAAATCATCTGAAAGAATTTCGTTGTGTAAATTCTTTCATCTTTCATCATTTTAATTTTAAAAATTTATAAAAATAAATTGTTGTTTTTACAACCATAATATTTTCATTATTTTTGTTGTTCATTTTGTTGTTGTTGTTGCACTCCTCTCCTCTCCATCGTTTGTCATTGCCGCGTTTTGCCGGCATTTTGTATGTTTGTTTGTTTGTTTTTATTTCAGGTGAATAATGAATTCTTCATCGTTGCTCGAACAACAACATGGTTCGGATGATCATTCAAAATTTAATGATAATTTGATTGTTATCAATTGTAAGTATTGACATTCTATGAAATTCAATTTAAAAAAAACAAAACTAATAATGATTTTTTAGGCGCAAGCAACAGTACCCTGCAAGATTTAAAGATTCCAAAATGTTCCGGAGTATTCACCTATAATGATAGTGATGATTTAACATCAATCACATCTAATCGTTATATTGTATGGTAAGGTTTATATCAGTTAATGTTCGGAAAACATTCGAATTTTAATTTTTCATTTTCGGTTCACTTTTTTTTCCAAGGCAAACATGTGATGATATATTGAAACTAAGTGAACATAGTTTACATCGTGATCTACATTATAATGAGCTTCGAATTCAATTTAAAAATAGTTTGATATTAAAAAATGGTGTCACCATTCAAGAATCATCCAATAAGATTATCATATTAGTTACGACTATTGTATCAGCTCATCGATTAATTTTTCGTCATCCACATCAATTGGTAATTGATCAGTGTTTATCATTATTACTACTGTTTATTAATAATCTACTGTCCATTGTTTGTTTATAGCATTCAAATCCTAGATCAATTGGTTCATCATTATCTTGTCTTGGATCAACACTATCATCATCCAATGATTCGTTTTATTCAATATTTTCCAATGTCACATGTTTCGATGATTCGGATACAAGTTTTGTACAGCTACAGAATTCATTTTCACAGAATGCAATTCTTGGATCACCAGCCGTGTTACCATATTTGTCGTCATGTTCATGGGCCAATACTCAAGATTTGGATGCATTTTTTATACTATCCACAACTACTGGTTCATTGCAAATTATTCGTTTGCCATCGGCTTTGAATTCAAATGAATCACAGTCTGAAATCAAAATTCAAACATTTGATCTTAAACAAACAAATTTGATTGGTAAATTATTGTCCTGTTATCGACCTTCGCTCAAGTAAGTTTTGTTTTGTTTTATTTTAACCTTTTTCACTGTGTTTTTTTTTTTGCTTTACGAAATATAGTAAATCATTAGGATCGTTGGCAATTGAAGCGGCTATTTCACTTCTTTCCTACAATACTGGAGACGATGACTTGATATTCGCCCTTTGCCGTGATGGCCGTATTAGGGTCGTATCATTGAAACAACAAACATTTTTACTTATCCATAATGTGTTCAATCAATCAATGAATTTAAATTCAAGAGATGGATCGGATAATGGATCTGGCAAGACAGCAGCCATTTTAAGTACACAAAAACCAATATCAATGAAATTCTGGTGGTACGAGAATGAAACCTATATGCCAAATTTGGTTGTATATTGTACCGATACTCAATATAATCAATTCTATTTCTATCAAATGATTTTGCCAAATCAATCGCATTCACCAATGAAAAATCATTCCATCCATTCATCATCATTCAATTCATCATCATCCATTTTGAATCAGGAACCACATTTACGATATCTATTTCAACGTTTTATTCCTAGCCAATATGAATTAATTGATTATTTTGTTTATAATAGTCAATTATGGGCAATGTGGCAGCATGAAGAAATTATTAATTTACAATACTATTCTATTGATTCAAATTATGACACTGAACAGCCATTTGAATGGATGCCTGTTGTTGCTGATGTGAATGCTCATCCCGAAATTGGTCTCCGTTCTCCATTAGTAAATCCACGTGAATTTTATTTGAATGGAATTTTTTGGCAAGGAAATTTTTCCTGTAATACAATAGCCAAAGCAATCAATGTTTTGAAACGTAGTATTGGCGATGAAAAAACTATCATAACTAATATACAAAAAATTGATATATTGATTCAAGAAGCTGTTAAACTTGTTGACAATATAATTCGTAATCAAGCTGAAAATCAATCAGAAATTGATTGTGAAGAATATATCCAATATGAAGTGGATTCTTGGAATAAACTTTATCAATTTTGTTTGGACTATCATGTTGCTGAAAATGAACCACTTTCGATATTTGTTGATCCAAAAACCGGAATCAAAGGAATTGTTCGTAAATCACGTGTTGAATTCATTCCATCATTGTCACCGTTTGATGATATGATTAATCATTATTTTTTACATTGTAAACAAAATCATACAGTCGCTCATCAACAGAATGGTGATGTACAATCATCACCATTCAATCGATCATCATCAACAAATCCAAACGATAGTATGGATCTATTTTCAATATCGGCTTTTGAATATCGTCTTAATACGTTGATAAAACCTATTCAAGATTCTCATCAATTGAATCAAACTTCTGATATGTTTTCAACCATTGAAAATATGAAGAGTAGTATTTTGGCTTTATTACATGGTATGTCAGCCATTAATGTTACATTGAAAGATGAAGATCTATTGGATTTTGAAGCATTCATGCAACGTGTATCGAGTTTCAGTACTGAAACAAAACTTTCATTGATTGAAATAACGAAAAAAATTACAGAAAATTCATTATTACCTGAGATGCCTTCACTTTCCGATCATTCATTCGTACCGTTGATTGATGATTTTTTTGATAAATGCCCCTATGTTGTTGAAGCAATCAAATTCTTCATTCTACAATTAAGTTTTGATTTTATGACAAAAAATGAATTGAATGATTATCTGGAAATGAACAATGAAATGCAATTACTATTAACATCGAACAATGAGGATGCACAATCAAAAATGGATGAAGCTTTACAATTCGAAATCAAACCAATGTTTGCCAATCTATTGTCCAGTCGTTGTGGTCTAAATTTTACCATCACAAGTATTACAAGAATCATACAGATGCGTTATAAGTTTTGTCGTGATTTATTCTTATTACAATATATGTTGACAAGTTTTCATTCCAAAGTCAAAAGCGATTATCGTACAAGAATCATTCAAGATGTACAAGCATTTATGATACCGGCTACCTCACAAGTGATGTTTGCATTGAATCATTTGTATTGGATTTCTGAAACACCGATGATCACGCCGAATATTTGGTGGTCAAATTCATATAACAAACTTTCTGATGGTATTACATCCATTGTCAATTTGAATACATCACCTTCAATGGTAACCGCTTCGAATCGTGGTTCATCATTTGAAAATAGTGAATTATTATCAGTGTTGGAAATGCGTAATTTTATCGATTTAAATCGTGTTGGCATTTTATCACATGAATCTATTTTCTACGATGCTTATCCTCGTGCCAATATATTGTATTTCTATTGTCAATTTAGTGGTGGTATTTTGGCTAAACGATTGCTTAGCTATGCACTGACTTGGGAATATAATCAAGGAACATTGGATCAATCGACATTGGTTGGAGAAGGAATTTGGTCGAATTTATTGCCCATGTATATGAATTCAATATGTCAATTGGTATGGCCTTTTTCATCTGGACAATTTAAATTGGCAGAATTCCTATTAGGTATTGGTCAATATCATCTGGTTGAAAGATTTGTTGATAAATTACATCCATGGTGTAAAATGTTTTCATATAGTCGATATTTTGCTCGTGGAATCTGCTACCTTATGACTGGTGATGGTGACAAAGCAATCACACAGTTTAAACAATCCGTCAATGGAATCGATTCAGAGCCATTTTTGTTCAAAATTTTTGCACAACGACCAAAATCAGATAAACTAACTAATGCAGAAATGAAAGATGGTGGCAATAAAACGACTGAAAATGATTCGACCATACGCAAGATTCAAATGCGAAAATATAAGGAATCTAAAACAATTCTGAATGCTCGAACATTATTCCGTTATTATAACAAATTAATTCATCTTTATAATCGTTATTCAACTTTTGATCTGGTCATTGAATTAGCGGATTGTGCCTTAAAATGTTTGAAAAATGGTTCCGATCCAGAATTTGATCAACATAATTCAATATTACATTCGATACTGTTTTCTTGTCATCTTCGTTTGGGAAACATTGAACAAGCATATAAATCAATGATTGATAATGTTGATCCGGATCAGAAACAAAATTGTTTACGACAATTCATTGTAAATCTTTGTGAAAATGGCCAATTAAAACAATTGGTCAGCTATTCATATATTGGTTTGGAAGAAAATTTTGTTTCCATATTGGAATCAAAAGCAAGATCATCCTGTCTAATGAATCATAATAAAGGAATGATGATAAAGAAACCAGTGAATGGTGAAATGAATCAAAAATCAACGTTACTTGAATCTGAATCAATTTCAATAAATTATTATCACGTTCTATATAGTTATTTTATAAATACATTCAATTATCGTCGTGCTGCACAAACAATGTATGATTATTATCGTCAATTAAGTCAAGAATATAGCGGTGGTGGTGGTGATCATCAAATATTGAAAATTCAATTGGATGCATTATTGATTGCACAAAATTGTCTTAAATGTTTTGATGATACAAAATATTCATGGATTGTGAAAAATTCATTGAAAAAAACTGATGATACTAAACAACAAATGAAACGTAAACGTGGATATTTTTCCGATGATAATGATAAAAATGATAATTATAATCAAGATAAAACCATTATTGAAATCGTGGATGTTGATGAATTATTACGTGAATATGTATTGATTGGTGCACGATTGAAATTATTGGAACAAAATCCAAAAGAATATGCTATTGCTTCATCACCATTAAGTCCAGATGAAACAGTTATTCTATGTACAAATGCATCGTTTTATGAACAATCATTTAAAATATCTGAACTATTTTCACTGCCATTTGAACCAATATTCAATGGTATGGGATCGAAATATATTCAACTTTTGCATGGTACTTATAATCGTCGTAGAATTGATGATGAAACAATGTTAGCGCTATTGGCTCAATCTAGCATAGATATTGATCCCGATATGGTGGAACCAAAATTAAAATTACCGATTGATGAAGATAATTTCACTGTAGAATTGCTTGATGTTTTCTATGAAAACACTGCATCAAATACTGAATGTGATTTTATTTGTTATTCATCATTGTCAATATGTGATCGTATGTGGCATCTTATAATGTACTATTTGTATCGATATGAACGTCAACCTCGTGTGTCGTCTAATTATTTTAAAACTGTAGCTGAAAAACTTTTATCCAACGGTGTTATGATACCTGTTTCGTTGATGAAAATCTATCAGGTTGGTTTCGATGATTTAAATATGGTTTTAAATGATATTAATGTGTGCCATTTGTTTTTTTTCTCTCCAGAAATCTAATTGTCCACAATTGCTTCGATTATTGATGACTTATAATTTTTTACCTGAAGCTACTCAATTGTCTATTGATTATATGAACGCATTTATGGGTCATGGTGTTGAATATTTCGATCTTACGGTATGTGGACGATATTATCATCATTCAAATTGTAAAATCCATTGAACTAATATTGTTTTTCTGTCATGTTTTAGAGTCATTTGTATCCAAATTGTAAACAACTATGTATTCCTATGCATTTGTTTGATTGTTTGGCTAAAATTCTGGAAGAAGAAAATGAACAAAATAAATTGGATACAAGTAATAAAGGTATAGGAAGCAGTGATTATAATGATGATAATGAAGCTGTTGATGATGAAATTCGATCCGAAATGATGATTATTGATTATGATTCTGTAAGTTTTATTTCAGTTTATGGGGTTTTTTTTGCTTTAATAATTGATTTTATTATTCTTCTCCACATTGTAGTTATTACGAAATCTGACCAAAACTAAACAAATGCTAGAACAAACAATTATTTCATGTTCAAATGCCTAAATCATGAATCATCAACCATTGGTCATATAATATATGAATTGGAAATCTGTTGTCATTGAATTCACCATTCACCAATTAAAGATAATAATACAAATATTATAAACATTTATTATTGTAATTTTCAAATTAATCTAATGAAATATCTGATAAATCAATGATTATTATTCAATTTTTTTTATTTTCGGTCACCATATCTTTTTGTATATTGACCACCAGATGGTCAACAAAAAAAAAAACAATTTTTCATGTCCAATTCATTGGAAAATAATAACATCTTTTATTGATATATCATAAATAATGATGATGATGATGATGATACACAGGAGCTAAACAATCAAAAGTCATCATCAAATACATAATAAAATTTTTTTTTTTTTTTGATGGAATGAAAACACAAAAATTCATATATTTATCATCATCATAATAATAATAATACACAACATGTGAATAATAATTGTGAATAATAAATTATCCATGATGTTGTTAAAATTGATGATGAACTGCTGTTGTTATTTCGTCTTTGATTACGATTCTTTTTATATCTATCTTTACGTATTGTTCCAGGAAAAGGAAATTCAATGTCATCATCGTAATCATCAATATCATCGTCGTCGTCGTCATCAATTCGTCAAAATGATACGGCATGTTTATTATTGAATCCATATTGATTGTTTGGATCTGTGTGTGTGTGAATAAAGAAAATAAGTGAAAAGAAAAATTGAATAAAAAAAAGATGAAATGAAACAATATGATTATGATATGGATGAAAATCGAAATTTTTTTTTTGCCTGAAAAAAAAACAAAATTACCCATAGCGTGTGTGTGTGTGTGTGTGTGTGTGTGTGCGGATAAAATACATAATTATTCTCTTATGGCCTATTAGAGAAAAAAAAAAATTGTCTTGGGTCGATTCTCGACAACAACAATCCATTCGAGTGTTACTTTTTTCTTTTTTTTTTTATTCGTTTGTCTCAAGATTTGTAAGAAGAAAACCAATTCTATAAAGATGATGATGATGATGATTATGATAAGAAAATAAAAATGAAAGTGTTGATGTCTAACCTCGTTTTGAATGGCAAAAAGAAAAAGAAAAATTTATCGATTGATGGCTTAATGTTCATCATCATCATCATCATCATTTGGATTCACGAATAAGAAAAAAAGATAACAACGATGGTAATGACAACAACAACAACAACAACAAAATATTTTGAAATAATGATCGAATTGTATGTGTAGAAATGATGATAGTAGTAGTGTATCTGTGATTCAAATATTTTTTTTTTAACATTTGCACCATATTGGATCAAATCAAATCAATTGTTGCCACCATTACTACCACCACCATTTTGTCATCAATGATTGAAAATGGATTTAAATTTCAATATTTTTTTTCATGACAAAAAAAAATAATAAAAACAACAACAACAACAAAATTCTCAGAGACATACAATTGAAAAAAAAGTTCAAGTGTCCAAAAAAAAAGTTTTTTTTTTGTTTGTTTGTTTGTCACACCTATATATATATCGCCCAAAAAATACATCATTTTCTTTTTTTGGCTTAATTTATGGTCTTCAGACACACAATTTTTTCTTTTTTATATTTCCACGAACTTATCATCGCCATCGCCATCATTGGATGATATAGTCATTAAGAGTTTACTTTACCACTTTTTTTTATTCTCATCATCATCATAATGATGATGATGATGATGATGGAACAAAACAAAAGTTTTCAATGCATTTTAACAGTATATATGATGATGATGATGATTTATATATGGGTCCAAAAACAACCAAAATATAATGATGATGATGATGATAATGTTGAAACATTCACCACCAAAAGAAAAAAAAAATGGATAGAAAATGATATGATATATCTCTTGTTCATCATCATCATCGTCGTCGTCATCATCTTCGTGGTTTCATTTTCATTCTATATGCGTGAAATTGAATAATGGCGCGAGGTCGTCGTTGTCGTCGTCGTTGTTGTTGTTGTTGTCGTTGTTGTTGTTGTTGTTGTTGTTGTTGTTGTTGTTATTGTTTTATGTGTGTACGACGACAACCACAATTGCAAATAAAAAAAACAAACAAATACAAAATATAAATAAAAAAAAATTGATGATGACATGAATCACTTTTGAGATGTTATACCATCAATCAATCGTCAAATATTCTTCTCTTGGAAAAGTAAAACAAAACAAAAAAAACGAAAATCAAATCTGATAATGAATTTGATTCTGTGGTTCTCTATACTGGTTTCCATTACATTATGTTGGAATTTTTTTTTTGATTTCATATCATCAATTTTAAAAACAAAAAATTGAAAAATTATCTTGTCGCGTTGTCGTCGTTGTCTGTTTGTTGTTGTTGTAAAATGAGCCAATTCATAATCGTCGTCGTAATTCGTTGATTTGACTTTTGAGTGTTGAAAAAAAATTTTTGGTTTTTCTTCTTCTCGAGAAAAAACAAACAACCAAAGGAATGAACAAATTTTTGATTCATTCCATTTGATGATGATGATGATAGAAACGAAAAAAAGCAAGGAAAAGCAATTCATCTTTGCTTTCATTCATATATGTGATTTATATTTGAAAATGAATGAAATATATCATGGTGGATAAAATGAAAAATTTCTCCATTTTTTTTCTTTCACTGACTAGATAAATTGGCGCCAGAATTTGTTGCCGTTGTTGTTGTTGTTGTTGTTGTTGGAAGGAATGAAACTTTTGAACAACCGGTAGGCCAATATGGATTCCAAACACACACACACACACACACATAAAATGCAGATGCAGTGATCCAAATTTTTGTTTCTTTTTAGTTCCAAACGTTCTAGCTTCCATCATCATCATCATCATCATCATCATGATCATGTGTTTTGTTTTGTTGCTATTATTCATCATTGTTTCGAAATTTTTTTTTCATCCATTTCTTCGTTGTTGTTGTTGTTGTTGAAAAAAACAACCAAAGAATTTCATTCATCTCTTGCATTATGTTTGCTTGGATATTTTTTTTTGTTTGTTTGTTTCTCTCTACACTAAAGATTCTTCATCATTTTCTTTTTATTCTGTCGTTTTTTCATCTCTTTGAGAATATTTTCATTTTATTATTATTTTCACTCAATACGTATGATGATGGTTCACTTTTTGACTATTTTTTTTTTTCTTTTTTGTTACTCTCATCTTTCTTATGGATCACTTCGCTGGTCGGTGGATTGTCATTAATTCTTATGTTTTTTTTTTGGCTACATAGATTTTTTTACACATACACACAAGAATCCTTACCGCGATTGCGAATAATCGTTTGTCGATTAGATCCATCATCTTCTTCATGTTCTTCTTCAACGAATGAAAAAAAAATATTCCACATTTGTCATCATCATCATCATCATCTTGATGATAGTTGGTGCATCATTCAAATGAAAATTCTTGCTTGGTTCGTTTTTGTTGATATTTTTCTTTTTTTTTCTCTTCACGATTCTCAAAACACTGATTCTTCATCATCATCACCATCATGGTCGGTTTGAGCTTGAATTCACACACACACACACAACCAAGAAAACACACCAACAAACAAACAGAAATTAATCTTTCTAGTCAAAAGAAAAAATGGCCAAAGAATTCATGTTTTTTTTCTTCTTCGAAAATCATTATTTTCGTAGACGATATGAGAAAAAAAAAAAAAAAAAAAATGGCTACCAGTTTCAAGTTTTTTCATTATGATTTTTTTTTTCATTTGAATTCTCTTCATCATCATCATTAAACTTTTCAATCGATTAGCGTGTATGAAACAGGGATCTGTATAATCATCATTTATTATAATAATAATAATCATTATGTGAATTATGAATAATCATCGATCGATCGATTTGATCGATTTGATCGATACACAATGAATGTGGAAAACAAAAAAAAATTCAACCGTCAAAGTTGAAATGAATATGTGAATGGACAAGAGTGGGTGAAATTATTCATTCATCTAGCAGATATGAAGCTTAGATAAGCAAAAAAAAAAAAAATTTTTTGAAACAGCAAAATAGAAAAAAAATTGATCATCAAAGATTATTCATCATTTTAAAGTTTTTTTTCTTTTATTCTTCGTTTGAAAAATAGATATAGAGAGAGGAATTCCACTACCACACTGAATATATCGGTATCGCATAAATGATTGATTCATTCATTTAAGTTGGTAGTGTTTTTGTTGTTTTGAACAAAAAAAAAAAATTTTTCAACCAAAAGTCATGCTATTTTTGTTGTTTATTATTCAATTCAACAGAACAGTAACCAATTTTCATCATTGTCAATATTGTTGTCCATTTTTTTTTTCACCCATAAGATGTGGCCAAAACACATGTGTATAACACATCCATCGTGGAACATTTCCATTATTAAAATTTTTTTTTCTTCTAATATTTTCCATCTCGATTTTTAACGATTAGACGTTTTTTTCTTTCTTTTTTTCCACCACTCTCTCTCTCTCTATCTCTCCACTTAGTTTTTGTACACACGAAAAGATTGAGAAAACAAAAAAATTCAAAGCAATTTTATGGCTATGCGAATAAGAATGAAAAAAACCATCAAACTATCGCTGTCGTTTTTCATTTTGTTTTTTTTTTGCGAATGAAAAAAAAATTCAATGCGTGCGTGTGGGTGGGTGAATGAATCGGCTAAGTTAATCAAATTTATTTAAAAATCGATTCTTTTCTCTCTCTCTTTCTTTTTTTGGATCTAAAACCAAAAAAAAAAAAAAACCGAACAACAATAAATGTATGGAACACACACACACACACACATACACGTTTTTAGGCTTTCTATTCTATTCAATTTTTTTTCTTTTTTACATTTGGTCCTTAATTTATTATTATGATTATTAGTGGCATATTGGCAGCGGTGGTGGTGGTGGCGGCGGCGGTGGCGGTGGTGGTGATGGTGGGATTCATTTATGATCCAGAAGAAGAAAAAAAAAAAAAAATGGAAATATTGAAAGCAACAACAACAACAACAACAACAGAAGCAGCAATAATAACACGAAAATACCTAATTTCATGATATGAAACAGCTTACGTAATAACAATACTAATACCTATATAACATATAATGCAAACAAATTGGTAGAGAATCAATTTATGAATTAAGATTATTAAATTTCAAGAGAGAGAAAAAAAACTATTCTCTTCGCATTCATTTTACACTGCACTTGAAATAACGATGGCAAAAAGCGCGAAAAAAATTAGCAAGAATAAGGGAAAAAACTTTTTGTTGTTTTTTTTCTTGAATATAGCGAAAATCATCATTAAATTGGACACAATTTGGACACAAAAAGAAGAAGAAGAAGAAGATTGGAGAAATTATCATCATAATAGAAATAATTCCATTTTTCATTGGTAAAAGTAAAATAAGTTCTCATCTAATAATGATGATAATTGATCATATGAAAAAATTGTGAATCGAAATGAAAATGAAAATAAAAATAAAAAAATTTTCGGCCAAATGGAAAATATTTATTATTGGGAAATTGGGAATGATAATATATACGGGTAGGTAAATTCATCATCATCATCATCACAGGTGTATACCGGGTAATGTGATAAAACATCACCATCATCATCATCATTGAGTGGTCATAATTTTGTTATGTAATAATAATAAAAAAAAAAAACGTGAAATCACGTATAATTGAGATGTTTTTCCTCTTCGCTTATTTTTTTTTGCTTTGATTTTCGTTGAAACAAATCAAAAAAAAAGCATTACGTGCTTATGAGCAATTTTTCATGATGATAATTTTCGATTGATGAAATTGTTGTTGCTGTTGTTTTGTTTTTCATCATTTTTGGAACTAGCCAAACTTTTTCCTTTGAATGAATAGTGAATGGAATTGGATTCGGAATGGATTTTTTTTCCACTTTTTTTTGAACCAGAATTTAATGTTTGAAATAAAACTGAATGAATGGAAAAAAAGTATTGAACAGGGAACCATACATGTAACATTTATATTGGTTAAACAATATGTAATGATGGAGAAAACCATCAACCACACACACACACACACACACACACACACAAAATATTGATTGTCGTTATCATTATCAATCGAAAGAAAGAAAAAAAAAGAAAAGAAAAAAAATCGAAACCTAAGAACATACACCTAAACCTGATGATCGTTTTTTTTTCATCGTTTTCAACATTGTTTTTGCAATAAAAAATAAAAAAATCGGTCAATTGATTATGAGATTTTGGAACAATCATCATTATTCCAATGGTACAGAGAAATAAAATTGTATCGATTTGTCCAGGATTTACTGCACTGCATTTATTGGGCAAATTTGAATTTTTTTTTAAAAAATTTTGCGTCATACGATACATATGGGACAATTTTTTCTTCTTTATCGGGTTTTTTCTGGAAATTTTTTTCGAGTATTGACATAACGGGATAGGAAGAAGAAGGAAAAATAAAGGGTCAAATATAAAGAAAAAAGTTCAAAACAAATTTCCAATTGAATAAACTTTGATCTACGTTGTTCTAATACTGAACCGAAGAATAAATGGTGAACAAAAGAAAGAAAGAAAAAAATTTCGTGAAATTTTAAAAAAAAATCACAGATATCGTTACACAACGTGGAACACACACACACACACACATAAATCGTCGTTGTGGCCGCAAATTTTGTCCGGGTGGCATACAAAATAAAAAACGGGTAAAAAAATGGGAAACAAGAAAAAAAAACGAAGATAAAAAAAAAAAAAATATCGGTGGCTGGCATGTATATAAATCGATTAATATATGTGAACCACATCACCATAACCACAACTACCACCACCACCACCACCACCACCCATCATCAATGATATGCTGCCATGTTTCGAACGACAACATCGATGATGATGATGATGATGAAATTATTCATAACGAGCTTTTCACATTAACAATAACCAAAAAAAAAAAAAAAAAAAATTTTACATACATTGAATAATTGTGAGTGTATGATGGTGAGAAAAACGATTGTTGTGAAGAATATTCTTCGTTTTTTTTTATTCTTGATGTTCATTATCTTACAGTTTTTTTTCTTTTTCTTTTTTTTTCATAATTCAAAAAAAGAAAGAAAAAATCTCTATCTACATGTGTGTGTGTGTAAATAAAACTATGAAGAACCGATATTTGAAAATAGAAAAAAAAATCTCAAGAAACGATTGAAATGATGTGGTTTTGTTCCCAATTTTTTCCTCCCTCTCTCTCTCTTCCTATACTCCTTGATGATGATGATGATGATGATGGTTGTTGTTCTGGTGGTGGTATTTTTTTCTGGTTTTGTTATCATAGTTATGGTGATGTGTTTGTGGTGAATGTAGTAGACAGTAAAAAAAAAGTTCAAAATGATTAATGAATGAATGAAGAATATATCATACGCCGAATGAATGAGAATTTTGTTTTTTTTTTTTTGATTCGCCATTCAAAATCCTTATGAATCCTTTTTTTTCATTCGTGTGATATTCTCGTGTAAATCTCTATTTTTCAGATATTGTGTGTGTGTGTGTGTGTGTGTGTGTAACTACTGCTACTGTGTGTCTTGAATTAACTAAAAAAGTTGATGGGAAATTTTTCCGAAAAGAAAATTTAAATAATCGAAAAAAAAAATCCAATTCAAACGATTCATACCATTAGTCCATTTTGCTTTATTTGATCGTGATTTATGTTGATTATTAATAAATGGCCATTTTGTTGTTGTTGTTGTTGTTGTTGCCGCTGTCGTAGTTGTTGTTGTAGTCGTTGTTGTTGTAGTTGTTGTTGGTTTAGGTGTAGGTGGTATTGGTGGTGGTGTTTCTGTTGATTGATTGATTGATTGATGTGAACAAAAAAAAAAAAAAACAAAACAAATTAGTCAACTAAATGAATCTTGTCATTTTGTCATTAGTAACTTACCATACAATCGAATCATTCCTTCTTTTTTACCGATACTATTTTGACCACTACATTTATAGCTACCATAATCGGCCATTTGAAGATTACGTATTATCAATTTCATTGTTGTACGATAACCATTTTGTTCTTCTTCAAAATGATATTTTTTCTTTCTATTAATACCATTTCGATTATTATTATCATTTAATCGATATGATGATGATGATGATGAATAAGAAACATAATGGTCATTTTGTTGTACATTTAATTTCGAACGGATATTATACAATTGTTCTATTGTTGTTGTTGCTGCTGCAGACGATATTGATCCATCATTATCATCATCACCATTATTATCACCACCATTCATTATTTTATCCAAACGATGACCATCACTATTTAACCAAAAAGTTTCCGGTTTTGGTGATGCATCTACATCACAACCAAGTTCAACATCACTACCAATATAGCTACCAATCAATTGTTTATGGACACGAATTTTAGGAGGAACTAAAAACATACACAGATACATACACACACACACACACACACACACACACATTATTATTATGATATATGAATGAAAAGAATATATTTTTATACACTTACAATTGACTTGTATTACAATCCGTTTACTAACCGCTGGTTGTACACCATTATTTGCAATACAAAGATAGGCACCCATATCATCGCGTTTTATTTGCGTTATATTCAGATATTCTCCTTGCCATTTTGGTTCTAAACAGAATAAGATTGTGATAAAAAAAAATCATTAATATTATTGATGATATCGATGGAGAGAGAGAAAGATGGAGAGATTACCGGCAATTTTTTTACCACCATATTGGCCAAGATTGAGCGATTTTCCATCCTCACGACGCCATGTAACCGAAGGCATTGGATAACCAATGGTGGCACATCTTAATGACACTTTTGAAAGCTCATCAACAATTGTATCGGAGCTAGTAAGCTCTTCATTTATCACAGGTGGCTCTATAAATAAATGAATGATAATGATAATGAAAAATAGAATCATAGAATCAAATCGAATCAAGAAAAAAAAGTTATTTAATCCTTTTTTCTCTCTCTTCTCTCTCTACAAAATGACTAAATAAAATATGGTAGAATATTCTGAACTGAATGTTTTTTTCATTTTCATTTCACAGTAAGAATTAATGAATCCCATACACATACACATACCATAAACATCAAGATAGCCGATTTGTGACAGCATAGTTTTGGCATTTATTTGGCACATATAAAGACCACGATCAATAACTTGTATACGATTTATATGTAAATACCAATGATTTTCATTCTGTGTGACACGATATTTTCCTTCATCTTCATTCATCAATGTATGTGTACCTAATGTTAATAATGTCGGTGTTGAATTGTCATCCATTTTGAGCCATGCAGGCTTTTATTTTTGGTGATCATGAAAATGAAAATGAAAATGAAAATGAAACAAAAATTGAATTTTTAATCACTTGAAATCCAATTCAAATATCATGATATATTGCAACTTACTTTTGAAGGACCATTATGATTCGTTACACATTTAAGTATGGCCGTACGACCAACAGTGGCTGTTACATTTTCAATTGGTAACATATATAATCCAGGAGCTGATTTTGAATATTGTTGTTGTTGCTGTTGCTGCTGTTGTTGTTGTTGAGCTGAATAAAAATTTCGATGATGATGACTTTGGTGATTATTATTCGAATCAATCGATTCATTTTCATTGATCATTCGTTCTTGATACGAAACAATTTCATCTGTTTTATGTGATTTTCTTATTCGTCGTCGTCGTCGTTGTTGTTGTTGTTGTTGTTTAGGTAATGATGATACGAATGATGAAAAGGCGTATCCAGACGACGACGACGATAATGTTGACCTTTTTTCTTTTTTATTCATATCGATATTCATTGAATCAAGTGGATGTAATAATAATGATGGCAAATAACGACGTATTTTATTATGATTTTTATCATCATTAGAATGATGATGATATGAATGGTGATTGTTATGATGGTGGTGACCATGATGATCATTATCATCAATATGTCTAATTTTTTGTTCACATAATGATTGGAAACGGGCGTTATCATCATCATCATCATCATCATCATCTGTTATTCTGGACAAAGGCGTCAATATCGTTGTTGGTGTTGTGGATAACAATTGTTGTTTTTTTACATTGAGCTTTTTTGATCCAATTGACCATATGTATGATGGTTCTTGATCTGTATAATTATATTAAATAAAGAAAATACAAATATACCATTACAAAATGCATGAGAGAGAGAGAGAAAAGAAAAAAAAAAAAAAAAACCAAAACCACAAACATGAAAAAACAAAATTTCTTCAATGATCAAGATATATGTAGACAAATATTAAACTTGACAAATCATCAAAGTCACACACACACACACACACACACAGTCAAAGCCGTGGCTGTGATACTTCAATTTACAAATCTCTTGAACAAATCTTAACAAAGTGGTTATGGTTGTTGTTGTTGTTGTTGTTGAAAATAGTGTTAAAAACAACAACAACAACAACGACCAGAATCTTTAATAATCATTGCGGCCTCAATCGAGTCAAGTGTTTTATTCGATGGATAATATGACTTCAACAAACACACAAGTGAACAAAAATGATGACAGAATAAATATACAGATAAAAAACGATGATAATTGGTTCTTATGGTGATTTTTTTTTATAGCTTGTCCAGTGTTTATTTATTTTTTTTCCCAGTGAACAAAAAGATTGATTTAAAGAGCGACAAAATAAAAAAAAAAAAAAATAACTGTATTTGTGAATTGGTCGCCAATCCAGAATTTTCAAGTGGTTCACACACACACACACTGGTTTCTGTCTCACACAACAAACAAGAATCCAGAATCTAATTTTTTTCGGTATTTAATTATTATATGGGACAACAAATAGATTTAATTCTTTCTGGTCGTTGTTGGTCTGTTTGTCTGTTGGTCGATTACATGATATTTAATTCTATTCGATCGATTGTGGATCATTATTTTTTTTTCTTGTAATCAAAGATTGAATTTCATTTTGATTGAATGAGAATAATAATAATAAAAAAACGAGTGTGATGAATTTTTGATTAAAAAAATTGTAATCAAAATGATAATCGTATGCAATACACACACACACACACACACACACAGACAGAAGACAGAAATCACAAAACCGAAAATTATCGAACCATGATGAATCATGCGATATATTTTTATTAATGATGAATATTGATGTTGAATTAATGAATTAATCAAGAGAAAACAAAAATAAAGCAATCAACCATAATCATCATCAAATTGAATTCTTTTTTTTCTATGCTGGGTTGCCATTATCTAGAATTCTGTGTATGTATCAGCTGATGTTGTTCAAATGTTCAAGATGATCATTTATGACCTTTCCTGGTGGTGTTCTTATGATTCCCAGAAAAAAAAAATTTTTTTCAGGGATTTAAAATTAAATTGATATGTTTCGTGATTTATCTTTCTTGTTTTGTTTTGTTTCATTTCTTATCTTCACTGATGATTTAAAGATTTTTAATCATCACCATATAGACCATTTCATTCACGTATAATAAAGTTATTATTATCAAAGCTCGAATTGCACTGAGGAGAACAAATTAATCGTTTTTTTTCTCTCTCTCTTCGTTTTGTTTCATCGTAAATGATCATCATCAACATCCGTTCAAATTAGAGGATTAACGTAAATGATGATAAAAGAAAGAATCGGCTATAAGAATGCTGCAATTGACACACACACACACTCGAAGACATTAGTGGAAACCATGTGGTGAAATTCTGTGGATCCATTATTATCATCATCGTCATTATTATCATCGCTGACCATTCAAAATAATGGCTTCATAATTGATATTATATTAGTGATTATTATCATGAAACGAATTTTTTTTTTTCTTACCGAATAATTGTGATAATTATTTAAATTGTAAATCACCAGCCATTCTACATAAATCTATCTAATATGATCATAATCAATTTATTTTTTTATCGTTACAAATGAAAAAAAAATAAATAAATGGTTGAATAAACACAATGTTTTTCTTTTTCATCAATCATTTCATTATCGAATGATTGATTTGATTTGATTGATTGATTGATTGATCAATTGACTACGTTATTTTTTTATGCTAAGATTTTTGTATTTTGAAATAAAATTTGTAATGGATAACTAGGAATTTTTTTTTTTTTTGAAATGAATTTCATTTGATGACCCAGTTTTTTTCGATATCACAATGATTATTGTACACACACACACACACACACATCGATTGAATTGAATGAATTGTTTGTTCTTGTGTCAGCCATTTGACAGCTTGTCTTTGGGATTTTGTTTTTTCTAAGAGAAATAGAATCGTCGTGAAAGAATTCCCAAGTCACACACACACACACACACAACAAACAAAACAAATCTGACATTTGAAGATTTTAACCGATTTTTAGAAGATGAGAATCAGAAAAAAATGTTTAATTATTTTGATTCTTTTTTGGTTTGATTTTTTTTTTCTCATTTCAAACATTGACATCATCAGGAATCATTGAGAATTCAATTGAATTTGTCTTTTAAAAGAAAAATCATTTCAAGTGTTCCTGTATCTCGAGAATAAAACGCTAAACAAAAACAAAAAAAAAAAAAAATTCAAAATTCTGAACAAACCAACCATCAAAAAAAGTTTTTGATGGTTTTCAATCATCATAAATGATAATGATGATGACCATTATCATCATGTAGAATATTCTTGGATAATAATGGAGAAGAACTAGCATATTCTGCTGCTGCTGCTGCTGTTCCTGCTATTCACAGATTCACAGCATCACCATCACCATGTGCTTGTCAATCGGTCGATTGATTTTCACTGCTATTCACATAATATAATCATATATATGGTGATTCTTTTTTTTTCTTTTTTTTTTTTGGTTAGTTAGTTTTTTTTCCCTGTCGATTGAGATTGAAATCGAGTTGGAATACAATAAAATGAAATAAAAAAAAACTTGAAAAAAGGGGACAATCATTCTGTGTTCGTGTGTGTGTTTGATTTAGCCAAATAACAAAATAAAACACACACCATATACAAATGACAAGATAGAATCGCTTAGAATCGATCGATCCATCCGCTTAATTGGTTCAAATAGAAAAAAAACTTGAATTTCGGTATTGAAGAAATATGGCCAATTCAAGTAGGAAACAAAACAAAAACATGGAAAAAAGACATCACATTGTCCAAGCAGATCAATTGATTTTTGACTATCCACCACCACCACCAATTGGCTAGACAGACCGGACTGTATTTTTTTATTCGATTTTTATTTTCTAAATTCTCAAATAGTGTCCGCATACACACACACACACACATTTATTCGAATAATCATGTAATCTTGAATCAGAGATGAATAAAAATTGATACAATCACACACACACACACACACACGCACACAAAAAAATCAATTCAGAAAAAAAACACCATCTTATATCGAGAGAGAGTATATCAATACCATCATCAAAAGGCTAATTGAACTTGTTCATTTGTCGATTCTTGCCGTTTTTTTTTTCTTCATCCAGAATACAAAATGGAATCGTTTGAAAATGAATGGTCACGATATTAGTAGCTGTAGTTGTTTAGATACCAAAGCTGAAATCAATTTTTTTTCTGTTTGTTTGTTTGTTTTGGGGTGCTCAAAATTGTTTATTATCAACAATCATCATCACTGAATCTCAGTTGTTTTTTTTTGGTTCTCAAATTAATTTGTCTTCAGGGTGAATCTTTGGATTCGTTTCTCGATTAGAATCATAACAGGGAAGAGATAGAAAGACAAAAATTGTCAAAATTATAATTGAACAAAAAAAAAAAAAAAAAACAAAACAAGAAACACAGACACACACACAGACAAATCGATTACAAGTTTCAATTAACTTTGTCTCCACCCAATCAAACTACATATTACCGTGAATAAGTTTTATTGAATGGAACCAAACAGAAAAAAAAGACAATTTCCATGCGGAAAATTGGTCTTAAGTAATGCAAAAGTTTTGTCATTCACACACACACACACACACGAATATTTGTCATATTTTTCAGCTTTATCAAGTTTTTACCAAGAGAGAGAGAGAGAGAGAAACCGATGTCATTTAAAGGACTTTTTCTCTCACGGTTTCTCTAGTTCAATGAATGAACGGGTTTTCCCAATAACAATAACCGTTTGACAGAATGGGTACAGAATATTGACCTCACACATCAAAAGTTTTTTTTTCCTCTTCAATAAAATAAGGATGGCTGTTGGTGATGATAATCATCATCGTCATGGAAAATCTAGACATTAAAATGATGAAAAAAATCGGGAAAAAACAACAAAAACAAAAACAGAAAAAAAATGTGGTCAGTACAAATATATGAATGACCGAAATTTATGAATTACCAAAAAGGGTTAAAAAAAACAGAAAAATGGACATTACAAACCTGTTATTGACAAAAATGAATCATCATTGTCGTTGTTTTCATTGAAAATGGTCTTCAAATTATCATGATCATCATGATGATGATGATGATGATGATGATTCATTGGATGCGTTATTGGATTATTATTATGATGATGATTTGATGATGATGATGATGATGAAACAATGACGATCATGTTTATCAAAAATAGATATACAATGTTTTTCATTGAGATGACCCCGATGAAACAAAAAAAAAAAAAAAATGGTCAGTACAAATATATGAATGACCGAAATTTATGAATTACCAAAAAAAAGGGTTATATAACTGGAGAGAAAACTTTTCTTTTTCATTTGTGTGTGTATGAGAAAAAAATGGACATTACAAACCTGTTATTGACAAAAATGAATCATCATCAACATTGTCGTTGTTTTCATTGAAAATGGTTTTTAAATTATC